GGCATGCATGTGGTACCTGGGCTTGAACCCTGTCCTTGCACTTGCCTAGGCAGGTGCTTAGTCCACTGAGCTATCTCTGTGGCCCTATGGATGATATTCTGATAATTCAGTTTACTGAGATTTGACCAAAGCATTATTCCGACAATGGCATGAATTTTCATGTGGCATATGAGATTTTCAAATTGATTAAAATATGTAAACAATAGAGTAGCACGTTTTCACATTAATTATCAGACTCTGTGTGTTTCCTTTTTAGGGCTGTAATCAGTGATCCAGGACAAAATACAAACATTGAGAAACAAGGAAACGCTCAGATGTCTCCAGACGCAAAGACACCACCTCTGCGACTCAGGAAGAGAACACTGCATGAGACAAAGTAAGAAGTCTTAATTATATAAAATGAGGAGGAGGCACTGTGGTAGCAATGTTAAATTTTATTTCTGTAACTGAAAAGTTTTTGTGTTTGCTTTTGCTTTTTTACTTCATAAAGAGCAATCCCATTTTTGCAGCTCAGATCTCCTTCTGCCATTTTAAGATACTAGAGGCACTATCTCAGTTTTACCCTGTTTGTCCTTTAGACTGTTGAAAAGTTTGTAATTTAGGGGGAAAACCCACAACCTTTGGGGGTAATATGTATGAAAATGTATAACACAGTAACTGAGATTATTTTTATCTATGAAATGTAACTAGTAAGTTTCACTGACACATTAAAATTAGTATTGCTCATTATTTTCTTTTTACATTTAACTTTGTAGCTTATAAAACCTTTGATCTGGCATGGGCTTTAAGGGTCCCGTGGTGCAGCCTACTTAAATTCCTCCATGAATTCACTGACCACTGAAGAAACAGAAAATCTACCAGTACCTGCAGTACTCAGATTTGACCTCTTTTCTATTTCCATACTTCTGTAGTTACAGAATAGTCACAGCAAATTTGCATTTTGCTATGTTTTTTCCTTGTCTCATTCTTTTCTCGAAGTCTTCGCTTCTATACATTTAAGTATTTGAAGCTATCATATGTTAGTTTCCTGTTGGGGCCAAGGCCAAAGTGCTACAAACTTAAATGTTTTAAAACAACGTAACATTTTGTTCTCTTACAGTTCTGTAGTTGAAAAGCCTAAAATCAAGGTGTTTGTGAGGCTGCATTCATTGTAGGATTTTCAGTGAAGAATCTGTGTTCTTGTTGTTTGCAGATTCTAGAGGTTGTCATTATGTTTTGGCTTGTGGTCCCACTCTCCATCTTCAAAGCTAACTATGATGAGTCAAAGCTTTCTCAATCCACAACCCGTTGGCCCTTCCTCCCAGAGAGTCTGTCTGTGCTTTCACCTTATAAAGACAGGTGCAGTTACACTCACCCTGCCTGGTAATCCCGGGATTCTTCTCATTTTAATATCTTCAACTTAATCACATATG